GTGGAAGACATTTTGTCCCGTAACGCTCGCCGTACTGTTGGGGGGGAGAAGCGGTGGGGGGGGAGATGTTCATGTTGCTGCGGTCTGCAGCCTGGACGTTAGATGTCGCTGAAAATTACACACTGTAGCCTTAAAAGAATTTAAAGATAAAACCTCAGTCAATTTCCAGTTTCTTTGTAAAAAATTCCACGCACAAGGAGCTGCATAGCTAAAGGCTTTCTGTGTGCATTGATGACTGGAAGACATTTTCTGCCTGCATTTATCTGTTTACTACAATGTGTTGAATTCATGTTAATATGTATTTAAAGACATTTCAATAATGGAAAAAATTGCAGGGGGGTATATAAAAAAAAGTCTAATCAGCCCAAACTTTCGTGACCCCCATGCAGTACCTCTGCGGACCCCCTAGGGGTCGCGGACCCCCTGTTGAAGACCTCCGCCCTAAAGTCTTAATATCGAAACACTGAGCTCTAAATTAGCAGAAAATAACCATTAACTGTAGAGAGGTACTTGGACATATGATTTGGGATATCTAAATAAATAGTTCACATGGTAACGCTTTATTATACCTGATCTAATGTAAGAGCTTCTGCTGACGTCTCGGTTGGAGTCGGAATTGTTTGGATTAATCAGATCTTTCTTATGTTTTTTTTTATTTTTATATATTAATGTTCTCCTTGGTGAACTCTGTAGTTCACCAAACTGACCAAAGATATCCGCTCAGCAAGAAACACCAAAAACGAGACTCTGGAGGAGCAAGATCTGAAACTGAGAGAGTTAAATGAATTCAATAGCACCATCAGAAAGATGGTGAATAAGGCCATAGAGGAGGATCCTGAGCTCAGACCTGTGCTGGAGCAACACTTTAAACAGGTGCAGTTTTCTTTTAAGGAGAAGCATTTAGTATTTAGTTGGATGAAGATATTGTTAAAGTTTAATGTTCCTGTCTGCTGTTTCTCTCAGGCCAGCCTGCCCCTTCCATCTCCTTCCTCCGTCCTCGGTAGTCAGCGGAGCTCCAAGAGGAGCTCTCCTCGCATCCCCTCGTCTCTCAGGTCTGACCTTAATTAATTAATTAATTCCCAACTCAATCTGTGCTTTATTTTATAGATGCTTTAATTAAAGTAAATGCTCTTCAAATGCTCATTATCATGGCCAAAAGTTTAAAACAATATTAAGTAGGGATGCACGATATAATCGGCCCCCTATCGGTATGGGCCTGTATCGGCCTTAAAACTGAATATCGGACATCGGTCACCCCACCGATATTTAACCCGATATTTTATCAGCTTCTAAAGTCTAAAAAAGAAC